TTCATACGTCGCTCTCCTCGACGGGACGCCCCTCGACGACGGGAACCAGCCTCTTCTTCTGGCAACCACCTCCGCACCAGACTGGATCTACGACGCAGCCATATCCCCGTGGGACTCGTCCATTGCGGCTTTGGCGACCGCTCACAATGAAGTCGTTCCAATGACGTATCACCCTGACACCCGCGCCCTCACCACGGGCGACGTAACCTCTCCCTCGAGACCGATGCTCTACGCCTCCCATCTACGATGGATATCGCCCACGGACGTCCTGGTGGCAGCAGGAACGGTATTCGGCAACGTCATCGTATGGAAGTACCACGCGGAAACTGCCTCTCACACCATGCTTTTTGTGCTCCGTGGCCACGAGGGATCCATCTACGGGGTAGACATTTCTCCAGAGCTGGCGCTGCCGAATGGCTCGACGGCTCGTCTCCTCGCCAGCTGCAGCGATGACAGGACAATAAGAGTGTGGGATATAAGCAACCATGAGGGACCGCATGAATCTACGCTGGACTGTGTTACGGAAACCGGCTTCAAAGCTGCCGAGCGCTACGACGAGGTGCAGGCCGCCTGTGTAGACGGACAAGTCGTCCCTGTTGCGGTGGCAATGGGCCACGCCTCGCGCATCTGGGGCGTCAAGTTCGGCGTCGACGAGGGACACGTCGTCCGGGATGGTCGGCTGCCCATGTATTCCTTTGGGGAGGACTCTACCGCCCAGCGGTGGGAATTGTCCCTCGGCCCGTCGCTGTCGGGCACGATTTCCCACCGGCAGACGCATTCGCTTCACGACGGCAAACATCTCTGGGCGCGGGCGCTGGATATCCGGAATGGATGGATTCGCATCGCTACCGGCGGCGCAGATGGCAGAATTAGCTTCATTGAGGAGGCGGCTGCTGTTGAAGAGGCCGGCGCCCAGCTGACTACGATAGATGTACCGCATCTGTTACAGTCGCCGTCGGATTCGGCTAGTGCTCGTGAAATGATAAGTCGGTACGACTTTATTCTCGACGACACCATGCTCGCCATCACCAATGCCGGTAGATTGTTTTTGGGTTCATTGTCCGGACCCCAAACGTGGGAAGAGGTCAGTGTTGGTCAAGATGTCGCGCCGGACCTGAAGTCGTGCTATGTCCTGCGGAAAATCGGCCACGGCGCAGCAGTAATAGGAACCACCAGTGGTAGAATTTTCTTCTTCCAGACTCGCCAAGTGAGGCCGGTGGGGAGCGTTCCGGGGCGAATCGTGGAAATCAACCACCTCGCAAGCACCGCCGACACCATCGAGCTGCTGGTTCACCTCCACGGGTCCCCGGCATCGCGGTACTTGACCCTCTCGCCCGCAGGAGACCTTCTTTCAGAGCACCAAATCGCAGGTTTAGACGCCCGGTTCGTCGCCATATCCGCCACAAGATTGGATGATCTGCTCCTAGTCGGCTCCCGCCACGGATGGATGTCTATCCTCGTTCAAAGAGACGACACATGGCACCCGATTCTGGATTTAGCAACACGCAGCCGCGACGCAATCACATCCATCGTTCCCCTCCCGCCTAGCCGGAACCCCTCGTCAGACTCACGACACATCCTCGTCACCAGCCGCGACGCCAAATACAGAATATACCAAATTCGACGGACCGACGCCGCCAATGCTGCCCTAGCCCTTGCCCTTGTACACGAGACGAGCCCCCCCTTTGGGCCCATGATAGAAGGGGCGTGGTTCTTAAACACACCCACACCGGAACTTCTTCTCTACGGATTCAGAAGTAGAGACTTTGTAATCTGGAACGAATCTACGAGGGAAGAAGTCGCCTCGATCAACTGCGGCGGCGCCCACCGCACATTTCGTCTCAACTACAGCGCGGAGCAACCGGAACTATACAGATTCGCGTATACCCGGACATCCAAGCTATCCATCTACTCACAGGCTCGCGTGCCGCATCGTACTGTAAAGTCCGGCACGCACGGTCGTGAGATTCGCGCGCTGAGCTCGAACATGCGGTATGTTGCATCTGGGGCAGAAGATACCTCGATCAGGATATGGGAGTACGTTGCTGTGGATGAGAAGAAAGGAAGGGGGGGAGCGATGCGGTATTTGGCATGTTTAAAGGCCCATATCACGGGAATCCAGAAACTGCACTGGTTTGAAGACGACTATCTTCTTAGTAGTGCTGGGAATGAGGAGTTTTTCGTGTGGCGCGTTCGGACCCTGGATTCTGCGTATGCGGGCCTTGCTGTCGTTTGTGAGGGGAGGTTTGCGGACAAGAGTCCGACCAGGGATTTGCGCATCATGGGTTTCGATGTTTCGAGGGCGGTGGATGGACAGAGGATGGCCATTACGCTGGCCTTTTCTAATTCAACGCTCAAGACGTATGAGTATGGCGCAGATGGTAGCTTCAAGTTGTTCGCGACTGGACTCTATACCGGCGCATGTATCACGCAATTGAGGCATCTTGGCCAGATGGATGAACAACTTTGGATGTTGACGGCGTCTACGGATGGGCACATGGCCTTGTGGAAGACCATAGCAGCATCATCTGCCTTGGGCAGCCTCACGCTGCAGGCTGCTGCTCAATTACACCAGAGTAGCATCAAAAGCCTTGATATGGTCAGACGGAACGGCATCTTTCATATACTAACGGGAGGTGATGATAACGGCCTTGGATTCACAGAAGTTGCCGAGGTCCGGGACGATGCTGGTCATACGGAGTACCGGTTTGCTGGTCGTGGAATCGTTCGCGGCGCTCACGCGGCATCAGTCAACGGTGTTGCACTGCTGGCACAGGGTCAAGATGACGGCAGAGACGGCCTCGTCGTAAGCGTCAGCAACGACCAGCGTATCAAGATTTGGCGAATCGCGAAGAGCAATCCGCAAAGGGTTACACTGGCGAGTTGCATCAGCAGCGGTGTGGCAGATCCCGGTGATGTTGCGGTTGTCGATCAAGGGAGCTCACGGCAGGTGATCCTGGGCGGGATTGGAGTCGAGGCATGGAGTGTTGTGCAGTGAACGACATCTGAGACAGGGTGAAGATTAAGTGGCAGCCATTGAAGTGATGAGTTATGCCGTGGTGTTTGGCCGACTTCACGTTGTTGCCGCTGATGGCCATCCATCCTCCGTTCGCAACGGGAGGAGCAGGCTGTAAGTCTCGGCGATACACGGAGTACATTAGGGTTCTAAAGCGAATGGCGGCAAACCCGAATACAAAGCTCCAATACGGATTAGAGATAAATGTCTTGGACAGTTCGAGAGGCAACCGCCTTGTATGACGGCAGCGAGAACGTAAGCGAGAGTGAAGTCACATATCACACGTCCCAGACGCTACACACGACCCAAGTTGTACCAGATTCAAAAAAGAGTTTGCAAGGACAATGTACCAGCCCGTGGTCGAGTGATTTCGGGCTCGCCATGCTCGAGTAGAAGCTCCAATGGCCAAGTTGGCTCTGTCTGTTGAAAGCAGATACTTGCGTGCCTGCAAGCTACCAGATACCTACTTAAGTACCTAGACAGTAAGGCAGTAGGCAGGTAGTCGATGTGGACAAGTATACACGTCACAGAGTACAAGTACCACTATCAACGAGGCTTTGCTGTGGCTATACGAGCTGGTAGCCGAAATGGCTGACTTGGCAGCAACGGAAGCAGACTCTGCTGACGGCTTGAGTCATTGGAATTTGGATATTCGGTACGTCTTAACATGAAACATGACACCCTGAGGGTTCCTGGTATCGGTAAAGCCTTCGATGCATGACTTTATGCCGGAGTGATCTGCGGATCTGCAGCGCATCAATGATGGGACTGGAGGTGGCGGAAACGGGCATCCCTTAATGAAAACCCTTTTATAAAAAAGTGTTGTGGGAATAAAAATAACTTATAATTTTAAAAAGTGCATTGTATTTCTTTTAATTAAATTTCATATGATCAAAAAGTGCTTACCTAAGTAGTATTATAAAAGAGTAGGGCCAGCAACGGCACTTTAATTACGGGAAGATGGTTTGTCTGATGGAAGGAGTCAGTCACGGTTCCTGCCAAGGCGCAGAAAACAATGCGGTTTCGGACAAGACGCCGTCATTGGCGAGCTGATGTCCGCGCTAGCCCAACACAGCGCATTCACAGCACATGCACAGAGGCCAAGCCACATCTCTGGAAGGAGCGGGCCCCGGCACCATCGACCCCTGCCTGCCCTGCGCGCCCTGCTTGCCATGCTGAGTGTGCCTGGCGGCCAACCACCCGATCTCAGCGGACCAACATTCCAATCCTCCCCCGCGCGCCAATCCATTTGCAGCCCAGGCTAGCACATGTGCATGTATGTACAACCTACTGTACTTAGCACGTCCGTTTGCGCGAGATTCAGTCGTCACATCTCCAGGTTGGCGCCCCGGCAGCACTGCCCTCTCACGACTCACGAAGCACTTGTATTTTCTGTGCTTCATTGTGCCTTGCGAAATGCGCAACCCTGTCGTCTAGTCGTCTGCGTGGAACGCAGAGCCCCGCAATCCCCGTCCTTGTCCGAGCTTTTCACTCGACAGCCTCCATCGTGAGAGAGCACATCGTGGATCCTCGCCTGCCGGCGCTGCATGCGAAGGACGCAGCGACCCCGGTCCAAATACTATCTGCACCACCAGCTGGGTTTTGCCTTGGCCGCTCGGCCTCCCGTCCGCTGCTCCAAGTTGTCCAAGTGTCTGCACATAAGTATGTACGATCGGATCCTCCCAGGCTCGCGGCTCTCACCCCGCAAGCTTGTTCAGAAAGATCGACACTCACTCCTTCCTCGCTTTGACCTCCTCGGTTGCACAGTCGTTCCCCCGACTTTGGGTAGATTTTCCATTGTTTGTCTGGCAACTTTGCCTGCCCGTCTTTATATCCGGTTCCTTTCAGCCCTCACTTCGAAACTCGGTTCCCTCTAGCAAAAAAGCGAGCCGCCAAAAAAAAACTTTTTCCATATCAGACACTGCATCTTTTGACGCATTTCACATTTCATCGACAAATCATTCTTCTCTGCATATCAGCAACCATGAAGTTTCAATCTCTTCTAGCAGCTACCATTATGTCCTCGCCTGTTATGATTGCTATTGCAGCCCCCGTTGGTCCTTTGGGTCCATGCCCAGACGTAAGTACCTAGGTCAATACTTTCCTCCGGTTGAACTTAAGTCTCCTAATGCGTTCTCCAGTCAAAGATTGATGCTATCCTCATCGGCCGAATGAAACCTGAGGAATGTTGTTCATATGGAATATGCAAGGGCGATGTGGTCATCTCCGTCGGGGAGTAGGTACTACAAACCAAAATCAGTCAAAACCGTCGACGGCACCGAGCAGACACTCGAATTTTCTTTATCGTTTCTAGCATTCACCGGCGTTTGATACAAAAGACCTTGACTTTTTTTCTGGAATTGGAGCAACTGGACGACTCGGTTGGGCTCAGCCACAAGCTACGGAACAGGACTGACAGAGTACCCGTCTATTTTTTTGTGTTTTATTTTCTTTCACTGTACGGAAACCTGGGGTATGCATTGGTGCAGAATATTGCAATTTTACGAATGTTATGAATAAGGGTCACAGGCTACACTGGGCTGCTCTTCAATGAGCTCTATAAGCATCACCTACAAGAGGCAATAGTTTCAGGACTGAGATCAACTCGTAGCGAGTTGACCTGGTCATTAGGTAGAATCAACGTGCGGTCCTTCTATGAATCGAACGGACTCGTTGAATACGAACTGTCAACATGAAACTCTGGCATATCTTGGGCCCTCTCTGTGACTCCAGCCAAGCTTTGCACATTGGTTGGTACCCATCCAAAATTCGGAACATGCCTGTTTAGCCCAGTAGTCTCCAGTCTCTCCACCTCTGGCCCAGCATCGGAGCCATTTCGCAAACGGGTTAGAGATCCCTGCACAAGACGACTCGTTCGTAATATGTACTAGTGCTATCAGGTTGCATCAGGAGGAATAGTAGCACTAGTAGCGGCTTTTTATCCAGCGATGGAGATTGTACAAGAATGAGGTCATTGGTCTTGGCGGACTCCCGTCCGTCGGTGATGCGTGTTGGCAGCACCGAATACGATCTTAATGGTAAAGCGTATCCGAGGCCTGCCCCCCTGGTCGAGAATGCGGGAAAGGGTATATTCTGAGTTGGAATTATTGAATGCATCGAGAGCACAGAGCAGGAAGATGGATTGTGGACTGAGCCGACACGTAATGGGACCCATGCCTTTTGCTTTGTAGCCGGTGGGAGGAGCGTTCCCCTGGATGTGGAGGCATTCATTCTCTGCCATGCTCAGCTGCATGACACGGCGGGAGAGTGCCACGTACAAGATATCACCGTGTGGGTTGAAATACGGCCTCGCTTTCCCTCAACAGTCAGCTTCGGGAGGGCGCCCGGCTGACGGCTGACGGGCTTGGAGGTTTCCCAGAGGATGGGATTGTGTGGATAGGAATGCGATTATTGATCTCGGTTGGCCAGGGGTGTTCATTTCCTGCGCTTACGGATACGGATGATGGCTGGGTGCGAGTTGGCTTGCCTTGGCTTGGTTCGGGCGTTGCCGAGTGTGGTGGGTGGTGTTGGCTGGGCGGCTGGGCTGGTGCCAAGGCACAAGGGAGGGGACTCGAGGGACCATGGTGCCCATGGACTGACTTTGTAGGTGAGGTGAATTTGCCCGGACTCGGAATTAATAAGCAAGTCGTTGATATCTGTTTCCATCCCATGTGCTGCCCGCTTTGCGAATCACGACATGTATGTACTGTATGTGAGTAGTAAGTGCCCTCGAAGGCGAAATAGGTACTAGTGTGATGGATCTCTCTCTACTTAGGTTAGAAAAACCAAGGTACTAGGCACCCAGCAGCTAAACGGCAATGGCCACGACGAGACCAAGTTCTGCCGTTTCGTTGGGTGAGCCGCTCGTTTTCCCTACATGTACGTACGCCTTTTACATGATTGTGTGCCTTAGGTAGGTACTTGGCCGATACAGGCTTCTTGTAAATGTGACCAAAGCGGCCCAAACTGGACATCGAAACACGATTCGATCCCAGCTCTGTCAAACCAAGCACTTAAGGATTTCCCTCAGTATAATAGTTTGCAGCCTTGAATACTCCTACTCGTAATATTGAGTAAGTAGTCCACCTTGTACATCTACGTCATCAACGGGATAGAATCTCCCCAACTCCAGCTCAGCGCCACATACTGTTCAAGCGAGCCGTTGCGGTGGACAAGCTGGGCTCTTCGTCGATGAGTCTCACTGGCGACTTGACTGCTTGGCTCTTTTCACAATAGGCATAATGGGTCATCCAATCGTCAACAAGACGCCGTATCAGTGTGCAGTCGGCATATATCCAGGTCAAGTAGAAGACGTCTTGTGCTATCCTTGCAACTGTCCAGATCCCCAGGGCTGCAAATGAATGGTTACATTTGCTTGTCTCAAGCCCAGGGTTCCCTTACAGGCCTTCGCAAATTTATCCAGCCTTAGGGTACTCGCGTCTGTAGGCCTAGCATCTCCTCCCTCTGGTTCTCGTGACTCACAATCAATACCAGATCTCGCTGCGAGTGCGAGAAGAGATTATTCGCTTGTTACCAGGGCAAAAAAGTGTTCCTGTATGCGATGCGCGGAGCGGGGCCAGTATTTGCCCAGATTTGTAGCGTAGCTGGGAAATTGCCTGTACAAGAAGCCTTCTTTTTTCTGGTCTAAAGGAACCGCGAGGAAGTTGATCTGTAAAGAGCAGTCGAGCATCTGGGTTATCTTCAAAATCTCGGCAGCAACGACCAAAGGCATCCGTCGCATCACCATGGCAGTCTTTCTCAACGCCAACGAGAGCAGCTATGATGTTCCAGTTCCTAAGGCTTGAGTTAACGCTTTACGAAAAGAGATATACGGCTCGATGAGCGCGGCACTTCAGCACATCCATGGACAGTACAGTCTCTCCTCTTTCATCTTGTGCAAGAATAGAAAATTCCTTACTTTGTCGTGTCGAATGTTGCTAGCTGACCAGAGACAGCGGTTGCGGAGGTCGTGGAACTCGGAATCGAGGGTATACACCTTCTCCAGCAAAAATGTGCTGTATCGTCTCGGCCACTAGGGGTTGTGGCCTGTATAGGTGTAAAATGACGATTATCCATGGTCACGTAAGGATGTGACTATATCGACATCCCTACTCGTGGCTGCTATATGTAACGTTGCCCATCAGATGTTATACTTGACAAAAGCATCGCCCCCAAGTTCAATGAAGATCTGTGAGTCATTCCATATCATTTATACAGAGTACCGCACCGCAATATGGAGTGTCGTCTGGCCTGCAGAGTCCGTCCCACATGCGTTTATGTCTATGTACACCAGGTTGGCGAGACCGCATCGATGCCTAGTATAGTCTATGCACCCTACTCCTACTTTTACACCTTGACACATTAGCTGATGATACATTGTAATCTAGGAGGACTCACCACAAACTCTTTGATGTGTCAGGCACCACTTCGGTCATTGTCCAATACTTGTGTTTTGCCATCTACTCCGAATGCATCGATCAGGAGGTCCAAGACTACGCAACAAAGCAATAGTATATCGTGCGCAGTATTCCAAAACAAAGGACCGTGCTTGCATATAGTTAGCAAAGGCAAGCATATTTTGCCGGAAGATGTGTCCTGTATGATTTGCTGGCAGGCATTGATCGTAGAAGAGGTATATAACCGCGCCTATGGGCTTGCAAGATTGGACAAAACTCTTCGCGTCATCTGAGTGCATCTGCACGCTGGTTCACCCTTTCTCGTCACATGTATGATAGACCCTTACGACACTTCCGATCTCGGCTAGTTCTGGACCAATGGACAGGCTGTTGGACCCTTCGATCGGGTGCATCTACCTCCGCAGTACTGCTATGCAACGCTTAGAGGCGCGGCGGTAGAATATCCCATTGGAGCGGCTATAACGATATAAAGAGGTCCATATCCCAAGAACTGGAAATTTATCAATATAGATGAATGCCAATCATGTTGCCTGTTCCGAAAAAGTGCCAGAGGTTCCATTGCAAAAGACGCAGAATTTGTGCTCAAGCGGACACTACCCCATTTCCCCATGCGTTCCCTGTCGACCGGTCCTGCAGATAGGCCCAATTCGAACGACGGGATGGATGGGGTCTCGCCGGGTGGTGTTCCAAACCTGTCGACCTGTCGTGGCTTGTTGCACAACATGGCTGAACTGCCGTTGTTTCCACGACAGCTTCCTCTCCGACTGCGATATGCGGCACGGATTCCTCGAGAAGCAGGAAAAGGGGTCTCGTGACGGCCGGGTCGCATCCGTGTCTTGCAACTGGTCAAGACGTGACGAATGATCTTATTCCCTTTGGTTCAGATCGGAGCTGTCATTGAGCTGTGATTGGCGCGGTAGCTGGAACTCTGCTGTAGTAGTTGGCTCGAGGTTCCTCCATGTCGAGAGCACGAGCACACAGCTGGCTGGTGGGTTGCACCTTCTCCACGCAGATTTGAGGGGCTCCACCGAGGCGTGGCACTTCAACCCGCTTCAACTTCGAGCGGGGAGGACCGGCGATTTGCCCGAGCTTCACTCTGGTGCTGCAAAGGTGAGCGAGGGCTTGCCGCTAAGGCGCCTCCTCGGAAATGCTGTTCTACATCGATGTTCGTCTTTGCATGTTCTCGTCTTGTGCCGGCAGGGTGCTTCAGGCGAGTATAAGAGCCAGGCGCTTGCTTCACCCTTGAGCCACACGCAGTCTGTTTCAATACCCATCCATTCCCTTCGAATAGTAGTCCATTTTGCCTACCAAGATGCCCCCCGCAGCCGCCGGCCTTTCTCTGAAGCCAAATATTGGTGTTTATACGAATCCAAAGCATGACTTGTGGATTAGCGAGGCCGAGCCTACTGCTGAGAGTGTTTCCGCGGGCTCGGATTTGAAACCCGGTGAAGTGACAATTGCTATTCGAAGCACCGGTATTTGCGGGTGAGTTTGCATTTCTTCCGCCTCCTTTGTATCGCTTCACAGAAAACGTGCGTCCTGACCACATGGAACTAGCTCTGATGTTCACTTTTGGCACGCTGGCTGTATCGGCCCCATGATTGTGGAAGGAGACCACATCCTGGGTCATGAATCTGCTGGCGACGTCATCGCAGTGCACCCATCCGTCACAAGCTTGAAGGTTGGAGACCGTGTGGCAGTTGAGCCCAACATCATCTGCAATGCTTGCGAGCCCTGCTTGACAGGGCACTACAACGGCTGCGAGAATGTCGCCTTCTTGTCCACTCCCCCCGTGCCGGGGCTTTTACGCCGATATGTCAACCACCCGGCTGTGTGGTGCCACAAGATTGGCGACATGTCGTATGAGAACGGCTCACTTCTTGAGCCCTTGAGTGTAGCTCTTGCCGGCATGCAACGAGCCAAGATGCAGCTCGGAGACGCAGTCCTGGTCTGTGGTGCCGGCCCAATCGGACTGGTCACTTTACTGTGTTGCGCTGCCGGTGGCGCTAGCCCCCTCGTTATCACTGACATATCAGAGAGCAGACTCGCTTTTGCCAAGGAGCTCTGCCCGCGCGTAATTACTCACAAGATCGAACCCGGCTCCGCTGAGGACACGGCAAAGGCCATTGTAAAAGCATTTAACGGAGTTGAGCCTGCCCTGACCATGGAGTGCACCGGTGTCGAAAGCAGCATCAGCGCTGCCATCTGGGCGACCAAGTTTGGCGGCAAGGTGTTCATCATTGGTGTTGGAAAGAACGAAATCAACATTCCATTCATGCGCGCCAGCGTGCGTGAAGTCGACATTCAGCTGCAATACCGGTACAGCAACACTTGGCCTCGAGCCATTCGCCTGGTGGAAAGCGGTGTCATTGATTTGTCGAGGTTGGTGACGCATAGGTTCCCCCTTGAAGACGCCTTGAAGGCCTTTGAGACGTCGGCAGACCCGAAGAGCGGGGCTATCAAGGTACAGATTCAGAGTTTTGACTAGAACCGCCGTTGATGAAACTATTTGCATCGATTGTAAAGTAGAGAGTGGTGTATTCCGAAGTGAAGGTGAATTCCCAAATGGGAGCGTATATGGGTGTAAGGGACTGGCGTACAGGAGATGTAGCATGAGAACTTGAAAAAAAATACGTTTTGGTGTGTGAATGAATGCGGAGCAGGACAAATTGTGTTTACGCTGACAGATAACAACGCTTTTGGTGGCTCAGAAGGCTGGCAACAGAGAACCCTGGGCTAATTAGCAGCATTACAATACCACCACCTGGCTAATGATGTAAGTTTTTATATCCATAAGCCTAGAATCCATAACGGAGTTCTCCGTGCATTCACGTGGCAAAGAACCAAACAACCCCGAAGATACAACATCAACTGTCAAGGTTATGAGAAAAGACTTACAGGACCAGAAGCACAGATAAGATAACTCCCAGAACATATTACCAGTCATCAGTAGACGGTAAAACCCCGTCTTTGACACCGCCGTGGGTTTTACCAGCCCTCTGACAGGCTGATCAATCCCCAGTGCCGGACATATTGCCAACGCACAAGCAACCATGTCCACAGAAATCCTGGTCTCGCACGTATTACATATATCTCCAGATTGTTTGTTGCAGAAGACTCTGTCAAGTCCCCCTCGACAACACCCACCACTCTGCGGTCCGCTTCTGGAACGTGGCACAAGAACCAGTCAGATGAAACCCATCGCCACCTCCTCCCACAATCGTAAAACGGCACGTTGCGTGCCGCCCACGTCCCGCTGTATATGTAGGTAGTCCGTTCACCGCTGCGATCACGCGCTCTCAAGGCCCACGGGTAGTCCCAAGACAAAACAACCTTATAGTTGTCGGAAGTCAGCCGAGTGATGTAGCTCAGCTTGACCGCCGCAAACCCGAAGTTTTCGAAGACAGGAGCATTGGGGGAAACCGCTTCCATTGGCTTGGACGTTTTGGCTCTCTACAAGCACGGGGCCGAATCTAGTGGTGCGGCGATATTTCCTATCCCATAATGACGGTCATATTACTGTGAGCGGCACTTTGGACGGTAGTGACGACGGAGAAGGTTTTAATGCTGTTATGCGTGGTTTTGCGAGGGGAGACGAGGGCGAATTCCGCTACGGCCGGAGACAAGATTGCCAGCACGCTTGCTGTTGATGAGAAGATGGCGGCATACTGGGTAATTTTTCACCTTGAACCAATGCTGGTCCTTTTTTTTTTCAAAGCTATGATAGCATTAGTGTTTCAGAGGTATCTGCATGCTTGTTCTTTTGCTGGGGGTGATTGTATGATTACACGGTGCTAGGAATGATATGGATGATAACATAGCCGAGGCCATCATAACGCATTCATTCGCACCAGACCAACTGCGTGCGGCTAGAGAAGAGCCTTTCGTTTTGTGCACAAGCTGTATTGTGAAAGACGTTGTGATTGCTGCGGATACGATGCACATTACGCCCATTCATCAAGACACAACAAAGTTGCAGGCTGTGAGCTGGATGGGACAAGATCGAGTTGGCATGGCGTACTTCCCTTTCGTATAACAGAATATATTGAATTAAAAATAGAATATCATTCGAATCGCGAATCCCACAGTACCAATGTACAATGAGTAGAAACGCGCGTTCTCGGGCTTTGATACCGACAAAGTCAACTATTTGCTTGAGCCACGACGCTCAGGAGTCGGGATTCAGGAACATGTGCCTGGCCAAGACGTATCCGAAAACAGCCTAGCGCCGACCAACCACGAACCATCCAATCCAATCGGCCAAGGAAACCACCTCACGAATTCTCCCGAGCTTTTTTTCTCTCTCAGCCAGAAACAGCCGACTACGAACGCCCCAAACCGCCGTCAATTGCTCCCGCAGCGCATCAATCCGCACCGGAAGGTATCTCGTCGTCTCATCCCCGACTCTGCGAGCAAGCCCTCTCGTCTCTCGTCTCTCCCGACCGCGCCGCACCGCACCGCACAAACCGACACACCATGGCCATGTCGCTCGCTCGCCCCATGATCCGCTCGCCGGCTCTGCGGATGGCATCTCGCCGCTTCGAGAGCACCGCTGCCAGCAAGGCCAGCGAAGCCGCCAAGGACACCGCCTCCAAGGCCCAGCAGGGCTTATCACGCGTCACCAGCGCCGCCGGTCCCGCCATTGCCGGCGCTGCCAGAGGCGTAGGCAATGCTCTGGGCAAGATTGGCGGCCGTACCGGACGTCTGATTGCCTTTGTTGAGCGTGAGTGTTTCGCCTCTTCAGCGCATCGTTTTTTCCACGAGCACCGTCAGGGCGATGCCATTGGGTGTTTGTTTCGATGCTAACGTCTTTGCTAGGCCAAACCCCCTTCGTTGTCTACTACTCCAAGGTCGGCGCCGAGGTTGCCAAGCTGGTCTTCCAGGGCCAGAAGATGAGCCCTCCGTACGTAGCCATGCATCCTCCCCCCCTCTGCCCAAGCAAGCCATTGAGCGTAGCCCCCTAACATTGAATGCGATGCAGCTCCGTGGCCACTTTCCAAAACACCTACCAGACCCTCTGGCGATCCTTCCAGCGAGGCACCCTCTTCCAGACACCCCAGAACATCCTCCAGCAGGCCCGCAACCTCAGCAACGCCCAGCTCGCCACCGCCGGTGTCGTTGCCGCCGAGTGCCTCGGTTTCTTCACCGTCGGTGAGATGATTGGCCGCTTCAAGATTGTCGGATACCACGGCGAGACCGCCTCGCACCATTAAGCAAAGCACGTCTGCGTGGTGACGAACAACAAACTGGGGAGGGGGTCCGACAGTCTTCCCTTTAGCATGCAGCTAGGGGAGGATCAGGAAAGATGGGTATATGAGCGCAAAAAGAAGCCGAGATAGAGATGGACGGGGGGAATAAAATAGACGTGAGGATAATTCGTTGGTCGAGGCTGCCTTTTCTTGTCCCTGTAGATAGGACGAACAGTTTGGGCGCGTCCGTTTTCATTTGCTGCCCGGCCTTGGGGACTCCGACGGCAGCGACAAACACCAATGTGTTTGAAGCTTTTTTCTTTTGTCATATTGTACATCAGACGCATTATCATTACCACGGCGGTTTCCGTCCGGCGTGGCAATCAACAGGAACTGACATGATGATATCAAGGACATGTGTCTTGCTGTGGCTGTATCATCCGCGGATTCACTCGAGTTCCCGTAGCAGTGGTGACATGTTGATGCGGCGTCTGGCAACTACTTAGACACGGCTCCAAGAGACCATGCGCTGCGGCCACCACATTGAACATTTCCTAGTAGCACAGCAACCTGTAGCCGTATTCTGGAAGATACTAGGTGCCTTGAATACCTACCAGGTACCCGTTGGCAACTAAGTGGACTCAAGTGCTACTTACTTAAAAGTGGTAAGACCACTTAGTTGCTGACGGGTAAACAAGACAGTCGATATACGGCGCCACCCGAATACGGAGTACTGACTAAGGCACCTAGTACATATCACTACTTAGTACTTAGTAGGTAAGTACTTAACGTTACCGTCCAAACCAACGGGCCAGGCCGCTCATTGGCAGACTACATTAAGTACTTCCTACTTTGAGTACTTAAGCATGTATATCAGAAAAAAGTAACCTTTCATCAAAACGGACCGGCATCACTCAAGACGTAAAATCAAACATTGGCCCCGTCAAGCCTTGTACAACCCCCAAACACGATCCAAACTGTCGTGCCGTGGCTGGAATGTGTCCACCATGGTATGGTGGACGGGCGCTGAAGCCCGACAATTATATGTGCGCTATTAAAGCCTCTACGCCTACTCCCGACAACACGACGCAGCGTTTAAACTCGTCACACTTGTGCCCGGCCGTCCTCCATATACCACGGCCATCCAGCAACGGAAACTTTTCAATCAAAGTGAGCTCTGGGCAAGCTCCCATCGGCATTGGCATCTCGGCACTTGATCAGCCGCAGACGCCGCACATGACGCATCCAACGCACAAAACGAGGCCAATGGTTCATGTCTGTCTCAACACCCGTCGTACACGAGGCTCGGTGCTGACATTACTGCTCCCTTATTATGTCCTTGTCTGCAGCCCGTTGCTGGCTTCTGACCCTGGTCGAGCAGCGGGCGTGCACCCCAGCTTTTCCATTGTACCACCAGACGGCATAAGGCGAACCAACTAGCATCCATGTAACTACAAACTCTGTACATTTTTGTGCAAGTAATGACTACATAACTTGCGAAACTTCCTGCTCCGTCGTCCGGCGCCTTAAAGCCATTTGGCTGGGCCTGGCGGCAAATGGAATTGACCCCTCCGGTAACCCTCTTGAAGCCAGGGATAACCGATCAAACTCCCAAACATTCAACATAGACCCACCGTCGCAACGCCTGCAACCCTGCAACCCTACCATCGTAATGCTACATCCAGTCTTGGGCCCGAAATCACATCCGCTTTGCCTGTACACTGCCCCTCCCTTGTCCTTATTATCGTTCCGGCTCTAGAATCTACCGTCCAACAGACACGTGCGCCCAAAATACCGGCCAAGAAAATCAAAAACAAAAAAAAAAAAAGATGCCAGTCGAGCGTGCGAAGTGAACGCCCACGAGATTAGTCGCGCTTTGTACACTTTTGACAATGAATCAATGTGGCAATTCTTGCATTTGCCCTTCTTTGTCTTTATTCCGTGCTCCTGCCGCTTTGTGTCTGGGTTGAGGCTCTGACTCGGTCCTCTGGATTCCAGGGTATTCATGGTTGTTCTCCCGTGCGGCCATCTTTCCCGCAGACCCGGGAGACATATGTTACTTCAAAGTAGCGCTTTGCGCCCCTTTGCGTCCTCTTCGTTGAGTATTACGGGACGTTTGATGCTCTTCTTCAATGTCACACGGTCAAGACTTGGACAAAGGTATCGGACTACAAAGGTTACACAGTAACAAGGAAGGTATCACGAGAGCCCGGAGTCGGACTTTAGCGAGGGCTGCCTCAGACCTCTAGGGCTCTCCGACTTCTTGGATTTATAGAGACCTCTGACCCCTCAAGGCTTT